CCTGTCCACCTTTCCCCTTCTCACGTCAGTCCATGTAATTGTGCCTTAATTTAAGCGCATAGTATTTGTGCCGGCAACATGCTCTTGATTGGCGGCAACTGCCACTGACGATATATGTTTGTCATTGTGTCGGCGACTGCTACCTTTGCCATTGACTCCTCGACTTTGCCACCTTGTTTTTGCCCATTCAAACGAGCATGGCTAGCTCGTCGTTTTAGTAGTGCTAATGTGACACTAAATGGCTGCCGTAGTGAAAAGGAGAAGGTGAGGTGAGGTGAGGAGTAGGGCCCAGCCAGCCAGCTAGCAGTGCGGCCTGTTTCACACACAAAAAGAAAACTGCTCAACTGGTCTCATTACAACAGCTTCACTGCTGCACAGACTGGGCTAATGGATGGCGCAAAATGGCCCCTCGGACGACAGTGCNAAGAGAAAACTGCTCAACTGGCCTCATTACAACAGTTTCTCTAGTGTCACTGCTGCACACACACACACAGACTGGGCTAATGGATGGCGCAAAATGGCCCCTCGGACGACAGTGCGCGACATTTTGACTTTTGAAGATCGAATGCATTGTGCGATGACTGCCTGCTCTCTGCTCCCGTTTTGTTCGTTGGCCTCTCTAGTTTCCATTTTCATTTCGTCATTTCTAGCTTTCTCTGCGTCCTATTGTATGTTTCAGTTGTGCTGTCAGTGCTGACTACTGCCATTTCTCGATGTGTTCGCTCTTTTCTGTTCTGATATTATTTAGCTGTCCTTTTGCCTGCCTGCCAACTTGCAAACTGTCACACTGCGGTTATGTTTTCCTCTATTAGGCCCTATTAGTGACGCATTAATCTATTGATCTGGGGCGATCTCCTTTCCTCTCTCTCGTTTTCCATTGTACTTCTCTTTGAAGACAGCTCTAGCCAGCGTAGAAGTCCCGCTAGCGCTGCCAACTTTTTTCCCTCCAATGTGTCCTGGGCCTGTTCTTGTCATTGTGTTATTGCTGCTGCTGCAAAACAGCAGTAGCTGTTCAGTGTGGTAATGGTGATCATAAATATAAAATACCAAACTTTTGACTGCCCCAAGCGGCTGCTGTTGTTGCAAGGCCTCACTTTGAACTAGTGTATGTTCCTTCTTTAAAACTGGTGAGTGCTATTTTACACTGCCACTTGTCTTCTTTTTCTGATTAACCGATTTTACGTTTTTCTTGTTCTGATTGTGTTAATTGTGTAAAGGAGCCCCTCAGTATTCGGCGTTTCCTTTGATTTTTCTCCCCTTTTTAGGATTGGAGAAAGTAGATCACTTTTCACTTTTTTCCCGTTTTCAATGCCCTACCACTCGTTGATTACAATGAAACTCAATGGAACATTACGGAGTGTGAATGACTGCTGAATTGTACACACTGAATGCTGCGGCATTCTCGGCTTGCATTTGTGCAGATCAAAGAGAACGAAAGAGGAGAAAGAGAACAAATGTTGAGCTGTTGTGGTCACTACTAATTTAATTTGCTTTTTAGCGTTTGGTGAATTGGTGTGCTGGTGCTAGTGGTGCTGGTTTCAGTTTCACCAATGTCACACGCACACAAATTGTCTGAATTGGCTGAATGTTTTCTTTTGATGTCTTTTCTTTTTTCTCTACTTGACAAAAGGGTTGACTAGAGGGAAACTAGAACTGCTGTTGTTCGATGTTCTGCTGCTGCTGCTGCTGACGGCAGCTCAATTCTGTTTCAGCGTTTTCCTTTCTTTCCTCCTCCCCCTCCTGCTGACATGTCTCCATTGATTAGTGTCATTGCATTGTAGTACAACTACAACTACCACTTCTCTTCTTCTCTTGTCGCCAGTCAATGGTGCCCCATGGTAGCAGCAGCGCCACAGATAATGTCATTATCGGCGGCTAATGGCAGGCTAATAAGCCTGGGTGACACGAAGCTCTAGCTAGACACTGCTTCCAAGCGAGAATCGATGCCAAACGAGAGATGGCTGCTGACTGCTGCCACTTCACACAGACACTCTCTCACTTTCACTCTCATTCAGACACAGCATGTTGCAAATGGAATTGCAATTGCCAGCCGGAGAACTGTCCTCTCGTCTTTGTCTGCTGCTGCTGCTGATACCGCTGTTGTCGTTCTCAATTCCCATCTCAGTAGCAGGCGTATAATCGGCGTGGCAGACAGGGAAAAAAAGAATAAGAAGGGCAAAAGGAACATGACTAAGGTGGAGTTGAAGGGGCCAGCCAGCTAGCTAAGCCTAATCCCGGGCTACTACTTGGCCGGCCTTGAGTGGCAGAACCCTGAAGAGAATTGACTGACTGTGTTCTGTGTTCCCCTGTCCCTCTTTTGTTGCGAATTATCATCTCAAGTGGTCTCTTTTGTGTCTAGCTGTCTCCGGGAGTCTCCGCTACCAGGGATGATGACATAAGAGTGGTGGAATTAGTGTGTAAATGCAAGAAGAGAGAGAAAGAATTGGTGCTCAAGTGTCCTTGTCTTTTTCTGTTCAACTGGATTACGATGGTGGTGGCTGTTCCACTCAATGTCATCTGCGCTTGAAACGCTTGGTAATCGATCTGTCGCAGAAGAAGGAATAGAGCAGTGTCTGCCTGACAGTGCTAGAGTATGCTTTTTGTTTTGCCAATCAAGTACGTTTCAGGCAAATTACAGCCCACCAGAACAGATAATGTTGCAGTTCTGTGTTTTTTTCTAGTAATGACAGTCTTTTTGGCAGGCAGGCGTCAGCCTGAAAACTGTAGTCTACCAAAAAAACAGATGATGCTCACGAGGAAAAATGAAATAAAATGTGTAAGCGGGTAATCATAAATATGTGCAAGGGTTGCACAGCAGGTCAATTTAGGTTCACAGCAAGTAATCATCCTACTTTACTGGATAAACGGGTGTCTGCCTGACAAGCAAGCACACACACCCAACCTACTAATTTAGTTGCCACCTCCACCAGCTAGTGCATTCCAGTTTTCAAATTTTGCCCCTTTGCAAATCGATCAACAGCAGCAAGGGTGATAATTAATATTGCGTAGTAAGGTGATTTTGACGGGAGGAATCATATAAAGTGACGAAGTGAACGGATGCCGACGATGAAGATAGCATCAACACTGTTATTAATGAAGCTCAGCATCAGCAGCAGTGGCAGAATGCATGATCAGAATAATAATAGTGAGCTGAGAGGATGAGAGGAATGAAGAAAAAAGATTTAAATTGCCATCCCCCTTTGCTGAACGGATTGCAACACTGTTGTCGACGGAGACAATTGAATGGAGAGAGAAAAAGAAAGAATTATGAGCATTTTCTCCTTTGGACGAGTCGATCAGGAGAACACACACACTGAACTGAGCTGAACTGGGCGATGCTAATCAGATTAGATAGTTCGCCGAAAGCCCAACAAGAGGGAGAGAAAGAGAGCAAGGACAATGGTTCTGAAGTTGAGCTCTGAAAATATGATTGCCATAGATATGAAAGCAGGCAGAATGAATTGAGGGCAAATTAAAGGGAAAACGAGAAGCTGGAGAAGTGGACAGTGCTACTCCTGCTCCTGCCGCTTAGAGAATAGAGGGAATTGGACCATCGTAGTACGAGCACGCACGAGCGGAAGGAATCGAAGAGAGAGAGAGAGAGAGAGAGAGAGAGAGAGAGAGAGAGA